ACTATTACCTGCACTCCAGTTACGCACTGTGCATTTAACTCGGACACGTTTTCAACAGAAATGTCTTCAAACTATGATACAATAAATGTTTATGATTCTATTAGAAACTTGTTTAGAATTTGATGATTTTTCGGTGAAAACGATATAGTTTACTTGTACTACAGATAAGATCAAAGTGCTGAAGGCACTGAAGAAAAAACCGGATTAACTAACACATTTTCACTCCAGTTTCACTGGTAAATTAATTTTATATGTCGCGGTTTACATCTTAATATCAGCTAACCTTTGCTTTATGAGACTTTTGTTTTTGAAAATAATCTAAACGAGTAAAATAAACTCTCTTTTATGGGCAAATAATTTAATAAGTAGCATCCCCGATTTCTCTTTCATAAATTGGCTTTAGCAAATTCTTTTCTATTCAAATATTAAGAACATTCTGTCAGTGACGTGTCTCCTACTTGAAATCTTCCTGGCGTGTATCTTTAGGTAACAGGAAGAAAATGACAGTCTGTTCATTTGATCATGACTGTGAAAAATCATGTTTTGTGAACCAATTTATCCGGCCGATAAAGATTTTGCAAGCAATCTGGTGGTTTATGTTCTAGTGCTTACACTTAGTATTTAATTCCAAAGAACATTTCTTAGGAGACCTTTAACGTTGATTACGGTATAATCACTATAACCGAAATACTTAGGAATTAATTTTAATTCCTGTTACTGTGAAATTTTTCGTTCATGTGTTTAAAATACTTAAGTAGCTATATAAATTTTCAAAACGATATCCAGTATTTCCGAAACAGTTTACAAAGGCTTTTAATACACAATCTTATAAATCTTAAAGTATTACGAGAACCACCCACCTAATCTCCAGAACATACATTCGAAAAACAAGATAAATCAAAAGGCTGCAAGCTCTGTGGTATTTTCTGATCTTTGCAATCTAAATCGCACTGTATAACTGTATTATTTTCCTGTATAAGTTTATTTTATGTACTATAATTCTTCTTGCTTGGTACCAGAGTTTGATACATATGGAAATTTGCATGACTAGAGTTGCATCAAAAAATCATTTATGTTCATTTTTATGACAGCCACACTTTATCCTTGCATATCGTGGCTATTTCCTTAACAAAGAAACTTTATAAAAAATAATTGCCTTGAATTGGATTTGAGCCCCAGACACACTAAACGAGCGCGTTACCCTTGCACCACGGAGAAGATATACGAACAATGCCTGAATAAAATCAAGTAATACTAAATTTAGATTTTCCATTGCATTTCGGGTTTGTTATCCTTATTAATTTCGAGGTTTTTTGTTCAAGATAAACCTATTGTTTAACATTGATGTAAATCATTTAACAAACATCTTCTCGCCAAAACAGTCCGACGTGTATATATTCCACTACTCGACAGTCATTTATTTGTGATAAGCTTTCGACATCGCTTAAAATAGCATTTTCATTGATTAAAATGATATTCATCCACGTAATTTGTGAATGTGCATTCATTGACAATTCTATAACCCAAAGCTACTTTTAAACTTTGAATGCGTTGTAATTTGTTGGATACTTATAACAAAATGAAAATATTTCTTTCTTTTAAATCGCTAGTTTTCAGCTGTTTTAAGAACTGCTTGTTGTTAGGTTTGTCGTGAAACCGCTGTGTCAGAGATTGAATGTTAGCTTTGTATTTCCTGATCTTCGATCAGAAATACAAAAAGGAATGGTAACATTCAATGAATGCAACACCCACACAACCAAGCAACACAGGACCACAGCTAAATTATCAATGAAAAATTTAATTTCAGGCTTTCAAGTGGTAAATAAAAAGACTAAACAAAAAAAGAAAAACAGGAAGAAAGAAGAGACAAAAGTAGAGAAAAGTAAAGGTTTTAGTGCTATAAAGCAAGAAAAGCAGGGTTCTCGTCCTAACATATTTATGCAATGAAATGCACCCGATCAATATTTAGCCATTGCAGTTTTTGAAACCAGTCACTCGTGTTTTCAAAATAGTCGGGAAATGAACCTGACCTTTTTTATCAAAATATTTACAAAACTATTAACAATGAGTATGCCATGATAAACAGGCTATAAGGAGTAAAAACAATGGTTAAGATATACATTGCCCTTTCCCAAGTTTGTATACCGTCTAGGAGTTGGAAGTATTATAAAACATAGTTTAAGCAATGGTTGTTGTATGAGGTGAGGTTAATAATATCTTACTGAATTCTTAAAGTTACTTTTACGTACCTGCCCTTCACATTTGTCTTGCAAGTATCGTGATTTTGTTTGTTTCGTTTAATTTGAAAGAAAGTTAGGGTTTAAAAAACAACAACTATATAATCAGTTTTAAGTTTATTTCACTAGTCACGGCAATAACCCTGCTGTGGAAGCTTGACTGTGTCGGGGGCTGCGTCCTGTGAACGTTGCCGTCGCCTTGTTTGTCTTTATTCCAGTTTTCCTTTTTTACTCTTATAACGCTCTCAATTTCTTTTCCACCGGGAAGCTTCAATATATTGGTAACATTAAAGTACAACTCAATTGACCCATCACTAGTACGGAGGCCTTCCAATAAAAAAGAAATTTATCAGGATATCTGCTAAATTAATAATGATAATGATAATATTAATAGAGCCAGATTGTAACTCTTTTCCGACCTTCTTGATAATGTTTACCATGTGCATGGAACAGGTATCAATTACCTATAGTTTTGAATGTCTAGATCAAAACGTAGTAATCTTCTCATCAACAAAGTTTACATCCAATGCGGATAAATATGCAAGTATTTATGTAAAATGATAAATATTAAATTTCAGATCTATCTAGCAAAGGAGATCGATTTTTTCTTATAGAATTTTAATTATATGCACTAGACATACATAAGAAATATTAACTAATAAAGTTGAAGCCTAAATGTCCTATAATGAGGCCGGATTCATTCTCTATTTAGCCAGTGCTTTCAGTGCTTTGATCAGAGTTAAAGAGAAATCTCAGGAATAACATTCTGTGTGTGCGTGTGATTTTTTATGCTTACAATACTCAAGTTCATGTTCGTTGTATAAAAGGTATTACGAAGTTTTTTTTCCTGAACCTCCGACTTCCCTTCGTGGCGTGCACGTCGCTCGGAAGGCATAGGTCACACCAGATGGGTGACCTAGTTAGGTCACTTAGCTGGTGTGACCTAACCAACGACGAAGGGTGTGGCCCTAAAGAGAGCTGCTGCTCCCGGAAGAGGTGCCTTTCCTCTATTGTCATTTGTTCATCAAGCGAAGAATTTGGTCCTAGAGAAGGTCTACGACGATCGACAGCTTGAAAAGACCTCCGTCGCGGCTCTACGACATCGACGACGCTGCAGGCGAATAAGTCCTCCGTTGCAGGCTCTACGTTACCAGCAATCGTAATAGAGGCCGACTAGTCTGGGACATATGGGAAACCGGCTCCCAGTATAAATAAAACTAAAAACACACACAATTTTCCTGAACGGATGTCAGATAAAGCAAAGTGACCTTTGAAATAGGACCCATTACACTGATTGACAAAGTAATTTTCTTAGCCTAGATATCATAATATTTTTAACCATTACAAAGTCAACACATGATATCTAATAATTACACGAAAGCTCTCAAATTAACATAGAATATTTTTAAAATTTGTGTATGTCAGTTTCCAACTCCGTACGTTTAGCTAAATTCATCATTGTAATGGAGAAGAAAAAAACATGATTACAACAATGTAATGCTTTAAATATATTGAAATTGCTTTTGAAAGATTTTTCTCAGAAGGACATATGTGAACAACAAGAAATTTAACAAACAAACCCATAATTTGCTTTTAAATTTATGGATTGTTGGTATATTCCACTTTCGCACTTTCGTTGCTGCCGATACACAAAAAATTCTCCGTTTCGCTTTTTAGTCATCCGGAGAATCATCACGTGACCGTTGTTTTTATTCAGATTTGCAAACTGAAAGGTGTTTAAACGCTTTTCCCACAAAATTGGAGAAAATATGTATTTCAAACGATTTGCCAATCCAAAGAACACATATCAATGTATCACTGATTATGTTTGAATGTCCCTTACACGCAGGTAACAAAAAATTATCGGTTCGTGAAATTTTACTTTTTTTTGTGACATTCGGCCGTACCTCAGTGGAGTATCTTGGTATTTGCTTTTATTCCATTAAACGCGGAACAGTTATCTAAATTAATTGATTTTCATGTTAAATTACTTTTACAGTGCCCGGTCCTGTTTGGTGTCCTGCTAGGCGCCTTGCCGGTGGTCCTTGTTTTTGGGATACGTTCAATGAATGCCACCTTCCTTGTTGATCTTGTTGTTCTTATTTTAGTAATGGCAAAACAATGCAAATCAGTTGAAGTGTTTACTTTGTAATAATTATTTTTGCCTTTTACGTCTCCCACAGAACTGCAGATGGGCCTTCGTTGCCCAATGGTTAAATTTGCTGTGCGTTCAAATCCCGTCCAGGACTTTCATGTAAGAAAGTTATCCGGCTTGTGTGTGGAAGGTTAATGGTTCTACTCAGGTGCCCGTTTGTGCCTAAATAATGCATGGGGACACCTGAGGTCTTCCTCCACCAGTAAAGCTGGAAAGTCGCCATGTAACCTGAACTGTGTCGGTGTGACTTAAAACCAAGCAAAACAAAGAAACACAATCAAGAGGCATGCAGTTATAGACTATTGTCTGGTAATGCATGAGTCATTCCAGATTATTCTCAGAATTTAATTTTATTTAGTTTATACTTGTAATTGACTCTATTTGTGCTATCATGATTTTTAGGAATATTCCTGGCCACTGACTATTGTCATAGAATTTTCAAATGAAGTTTATTATTTGTACGAAAGCTCTAATTTGATGCCAGATTTCAATGCACATTGTTTTGATAAATTTGATGTTAACACAATTTGGCACATAATAATACACATACAAGAATAAACAATTTAATATCTCAATTTAAGCACAACACAAAAATGCAAATGAATATTGATAGTGTGTTTTTAAAATGATTTTATACTTAAGACAGTTATTATTGTTGCCATAAAGGCATATAATACCTTAGAAATTCATAATTGTTTTAATTGTCAAGAAATGGCAAACATGTGTTTAATAATGTTTAAGTAGTAAAAGATGTTTTACAAACGAAGAAAGTAGTGCTGAATGCGAACTACTGTGTCATAAAGGCGGCAAAATGTAAACAAAATAGTAGTTTGACTTCCATACAGAAATACTAATTCTCTATAAGTATACAAATTGCCAACAGAGCAAAAAAGTAAATGAGTACTTCTTTTAAAACTGTTACAAGATAACAAAGGTTAAAAAATTTTGAGAAATAAAGATAATAGCACTTCTGAGGCATTATGGGCTTTGTAAACTATTTTAACGAGGGAGAAAAAAAAACAGCCGCATATACATGTAGACCTTAACCAGCATCATACCGTGTGTATAGTGACACAATCGAAAAGTGTTAGAATGTAAAATATGAAAGTAAATTTGACTTTAACTCCATACCATAAATAAATCTTGAAGGAGTTTAAAGCCATGTTGGAACCAAACTCTTATCAGATTTTTTCTAAAAATACACGAGGCTGAAAGAGATTGCCTCTTTTGTCATTATTGATAATAAGGTCAATCTTTGCAAACCTGATAGGTACGGTAGAAAATTAAAGTGTTTCTATTAGTATAAACAGCAAAATAACTTTCCCAATGGCATTCCAAAAACATCTTTCTGATTTGTCGGATTGATGCTCCCAAAATAGGACGATTGTGAATTGTGCAGTCAAATATAATTCACTTTTGAACATATAGTAGGCAACGATCCGATCATGTATTTAAAATAAAACTCAAATGTATCAGAATATGTTCATAGCTATAAATATCTTAACATTTATTTGAATGAATTTGTTGTAACAAATTTACATAATTAACGTATACAATTACGATCAATTACATGTAAAATTATTGTACAATCTAATTAAATTATTTCTTATTAAACGATTTCTTCATTTATTTTCATATCCATAAAAAAACGCCGCTAAATGGTGGTTGCAAATTCTCCAGTCTTGACTACATTCAAAATCTTTTTTCCACGTGACCCCTCAATAAAAAAATCATTCAGACGATTATCGATTAGTGAAAAAAGCCTCGAGTTAACAGTTGCATGAACGAAAGGGAGAGGAAAAAAACACAAACAACAACACAATTATAATTTAAAAAATGGTGTTTTAAATTTGCTGATGTCTATATGCAAATATACCTATTTTTTACTACCAATACCATAACCTACAATTATCATTATTTTATTAATGTACATAGTCAATCAAGAATGAGTTACTAAATTACGTAAATCCCGCAAACTTGGTGGTTTAACAAATTTTGCATGATTGTTGTTTGTGTTGTTGATTCTATGACAACATTAATTTTCAGTCTCAGATTATGAGTTGAACAGTAGCAGTTTCCTCGTGATTGCCGTCCTTCCGACTACCGTGACACGTATAATTGCCCTGGTCATTTTTCCTTATCAGCTTTATTTTTAACTGAATAAGCTTCACCGGAATATCATCAGCCCACTGATTCTCTTCTAACTTTAATCAAATGTAATAAAAGAAAAAACAAAACAAATCATTTCGTGATAAATGATATCAGGATTTAAGTGCACGCTTTTATAATGAAAAGTATAAGAATTTCTGAAAATAATAATGCAGCATGTTTGAAATAAATAATTTATTTAATGAACGCTTTGATAAGAAGGTAGCCATTAAACATTCTATTTCTTCTTCCTTTGTTAACAAATAAATATTATTCACCTCATAGATGAGACTTTTATTAATATTAATTTTCTTTCCTTCGAATTTCCAATACGCTTTACCCATTGGCGAAGCCTGAACAATGCATCTCATTATCACATTTTCATGTTCTGTAGCACGAATAAGTGACGTCACCACAGACACTTCCGGTCCGACTGCAGGAAATTTATAATTGGTATGCAATAAAGTTAGATACTGAATAAAGAAATATAGAAAAGGAGTCTAATAAAAAGGAAAATTGCAATTATGAACCTTTTTTTCATTTTTCTCTTATATAAATGTTGAACACTCATAAAAGATAAAGTTTACAATTTTCCATTAGATCTACAGTAAGTATTTCAAATATTGATAAAAACAGTAGATTTGTATCATTTGGATAATCCTATAATGTTTTTTTAAAAATAAGTTGATCAAGTTCTAAGTAATTTGGAACACGTGGAAGGAACATTTACATGTGATGAATGATACTAGTATGTTTAAGTGCTATATGTAAGTAAATGTATATAAATATTGGACCATGTGTCTCACACTTACCAACAACTCTCATGTATAATTTTTTTTGGTGGTTTATTGCAATGCCTAATACTTAAAGCAGCACGCCTCCATATTCATTTCAATTTTTAGAAAAAAAATTAAAATTTTAGAAATGTATTTAAAAGTAAAATATTGTGAGGTGAATTAACAAATAAAGTAATTTACATATTGCAATTGGCACTTACAATCCAAGAAAATTACTTTTAATATATGCAAAAAAGCCCATACTAAGTTAGTAATCCAGTAGAAGTATGGTAATGAAATACTGCAAAATCAGTCTTAAACCGCACATAAAATTTAAAATTTAACGTGGACCTTTAATGTTTTTATTTTCATAAAATGTAAGTACATTTTTCTTGATATTAATTTTCTTGAAATATTTTGGCTCATTTGGAGGCGTGCAGCTTTAATACTATCAACTTAATTATTGACTGTATTACAGACCTTCCTTTATAGACACACTTATTCTGTAATGCGTACATCCAGCGTGTTTTACGCTATTTTTTGTATAACGCATATGACGTCACGTCAAAATATATGCATGCATGCGTTCTATAAAAATGACGCTGTTACAGGACAAAAAATTATGATAGTACATGTATGTACTTACATTCAACTGTTAGAAACATGTGTCTTATTGCGGATCCGTGTTTGTTTGAAGCATTGCACTTGTAATTATCCTGACTATACCTCGTCACATTCCGGATATTTAACTTGGACCCTTCAAGACCCTCGATAACTGAAACATGTCTTAATGTATTTATTCGAGAAGGTCTAAAAAATCATAAACAAATATTAGGTTATTGTTTTTCCTTCAGTTAATGTAGGAAAATGTAATAAATAAAACAAAATGTTTTCGTTGTTGCTTTTTGCGCATTTAGCTACTTTAATCGGCATTTCTATTTTTTTTAAAAAGACAGCTCAAAAAGGTGATAAAATAGAATAGAATTCTTGGATAGCTTGTTTCGATTCATAAATGAAAACAGAATTGTTGGTAAATGACAATTATTTAAATTATTATAAACAAAGGTTTGGTCAGTATGGATGCTTGATATAAATAGATCAAAGCACTGAAAGTGCTGGTTGCGGAAAGCCCCGAGAAACGTATGCAAATATTTAAGAAAACAAGTACATGTATACTCAGTGTCTTATCTGGAGTCATTCCAACAGTAAACATAATCAAAGAAACGAAGAATTAAAGAGTGATTTTGGTCGTTTCTGTAAAAAGCATCCGATATGTTGTTTTTCAAGTAATCTAAAATTCCGTTTATTAATCAATATATTAAAAGTATGAGTTTTAAAAAGGATATATTTTATCTTCAATTTAGTTTCTTAAAATTTAACTTGCTTTAAAGAGATAATTAGGTATTGAATGATCAAAGTTTAAATATTTGTAAGCATGTTAAAATGGGGGTTTTTGTTCCACATTGGACAGCTCTGCAGCCGGCCGTTGCACTTTAAAACAAGATGAAAAAATAATAAGAAAAACTATAGTTTCATATTCAAATGTCAAATATAGAGTGAGCTAAATAAAATGGGTCGCTCATTTCAACCAATGCCTTTTATAATAAATAAGGAAACGAAAACAAACTGTTATTTTAGTTGGTTTAGAAAAAGTTTTGCGCTTACGCAACCTACTTTATATAAGATTTTTATTAGAATACATTACTCATTTCAGATATAGTTGAATAAATTATGTCCTATATATACTTACTCTCCATGGATCTACCGCGGTGCCATTTTATTTCTGGTGCCGGTGACCCGTCAAACACGCAGTTAAGTTCGGCATCTTCACCCTCCTTAAACTTTGAGTTTGAACCTGAAGAGTTTCTTTCATCAAGTGTTGGTTTACCTGAAAGGTGCCTGACTTACTCATTTAAAAAAATAAAGATTTACTTTCTGTGAAATATATCAAATGTAGCGTCAATGATTATCTCTTTGAAGCTTTACACTGTTGATTCCGAAGTTGTTTAGCTTTAAGTTTGATCTTTGGTGTAATGTTATACATGTATAGTTGAGAGTGATGCGTTTTGAATTTTAATGCTTACAATATCAGTGAAATTACCAATGGGCAGATCTGAAAGAACATTTTACAAATTCAGCTCACTCTCTAAAGAAACACTTTTCAAAGGTTTTGGACTGGAAACAAAAAAGTAACATCCTACATGAAATAGAGAATAAATACAATGGATGGTCCAGAGTCAACCAGAATTGCGCATCATTTAACAAAAGTTATTATTTCAAACCTTAATGAATATGTAATACCGTGTATCTCATTACAGCAAAATAACACATAATGACTAGCATGTATATTTCTAAGTAAACTTAGTAAAGCGCATATCGTTGTGTTCTTCTTTTAAGGTTTTGAAAGTATTTGTCAATGTACACAGTATAAGGCTCACAGTAGGGAGGTCGGTGAATTTTATTTCAGCATAAACTATCGAGCAGTCCAATTTCTTAACGATATTTTTTGTGTTTTGCTCGAAAGGAAATGAACCTGGCATAGAATAATGTATTTCCTCAGACTCACTTTATCGGCATGTAAATATGACTATTTCACAGTCGAGATTTTCTCCACCACATATCGAGTTAAAGCGCACATCTGAAGCAGCGGAAATTCACATATATGTTTTACCGATGCTCTACTTTGAGATACATATGGGGTTCCACCCCGGTGATAGCGCCGTTTTCCGGACGCTAATGTTGTAACTATTAATCCCTAAAACATTATTTCGCAAGGATCCAGCATTCAAATGACATTTGTTCGTGTTTTGAATCAAGTTCCAGTTATCCATGTTTGTAACGGGCTTTGGACTTATAAAGATATTCTGAGTAATCCTGACTATCCCTCGTACACATGCAAACGTTTTTTTATTAAGTAAACTTACTTTCAATAACAAGTGTAACCACGGAGAGCGTCATCTGTTTACTTCCAATTTTTGCTTCGCATTTGTATGTTCCAGCAAAATTTCTGGTTACATTTTTGTTATGAAGATTCCATGTGTTATTTGCAGATTTCTCAATTCCTAAATATGTCGAATCCGGATTTATTATAGTTTTACCTCGTGTAAGATATTCTTCATTGCTGTTCAACCATGAGACCTATGATGAAATAATCTGTTAAAATTACAATTATTATCGTCATAATTTATTTAGAATAAAGAAAAAACTTTTTTTAAGTAGAGAAAGCTTTCGATACACTTGTTGACTATCACATGTTGTTAGTTAATTTATCCTGCATTTTTATTTTCTTTCGCCCGTGACTGGTCTTTTTGTTGCTATTTTTGGTTAATTATTTAGATCTATTCATTTTCTATTTTTTTTTTGTAATATATAACATTTACATTGGCTACTAATATCTCACTTACAGAGGCATTCTTTTGATATGGGTCCATTTTGCAGGGAAGTATACAAGACGTGCCCAACACACAAGGTATGGTATAATTTGTATAAGCAAATCTCTGTCTGACTTGAGCTGAAAAATAATAAAATATTTTTGAAGAGCAATGATGAGTGTTTTTTCTCCCTTTTTTCTATAAACGCCTGTTTGTTCTCTAAACCATGTGCGTTAAGAATTCTCGAAATCATTATTCACACCGTAAATACCGATTCATTCTTTAGAGGCCGAGTAACCTAAATGCTACCAACGTCAATCAATTTGCCTTTGAGAACATGTGAGACTTGATCTCGGGGTACTAAATACTATTTTGTCTCTTTATAAAACTTACAATTGAGTATACGAAAATAATTATAGTAACCAGCAACAAATAAGGGGAATCCGTGTTTCAGTTATTACAGACAATACAGTCCAAAGCATATGATTTATTGCAAATAAAAGCACGTGTATCATTATAAGTAAGCTTAAATTCATTTAATTCAACTTGTATCATTTCTTACGAGCACAGGTAATAGATGCAGTAAGAATATAAAACACATTATAGAATAAAAATGCACAATATCTAAACACGTGTACAGGTAAATGGTACAAACTCAAATTATTTAGTCAACACAAAAGCGTACCTGAAACTATTATAACAAGTATTCCAATCACGCAAAAACGCCCCATTTTCATCCGTGAGTTAAACAGGAATGACTAAGTTGGAAAAAAAAACTTATAAAAATTCTTGAAATCATCATTCATGGTCCAATTTCGTTTTATTTCTGCAACATATGACACATCTTCAATTACATTAACCGGATAATATTTATTTCCATGTTAATTCAGCTGTACTGATTTCTTTTATATGAATGCATATAAGGAAGTTTTCATTTTTGTTTCATAATCAACGTACAAAGTACAAGATCGTGGCAAATATTCCAATTAAGGAAGTTAATTTGGCGAAGTTTTGATTTAGAGACAATTACTGCTTTGATCCCACTTTTTATTTTAAAGTGTATATTAGAAAAGCTATTTCTCTGATGCCTGCAGTTTACAATATTTTATTTGAATTAAAAAAAAGAAGAGAAATATAACTGTTCCAACATGTATGAAATAATTCTTTTTAACCGAATGGAGCATAAACGAAATCATTGTTGAACGGTTAAAATCCTACTTAAAAAAAAAATTGATATTTTGTTCAAGACCATTTTTTTCTGTTTATGTTAAGCCTTTATGAGTTTTGAATAACCCATTAACAAGTAATTAATAAGATAACAAAAGTCATATGGCGCCGAAATAAAAAAGGTGATTTTGGCTAATGTCGGGTGTTGCAAACTTAATTCAACTTAGCAATGGATAAATGTCTGGAAAAATTGACCCCTCGGAAGCATTTAAAACAGCAAAATTACATGAAAACTGCAGACTCGGTTTGATCGAGTCTATATATGAGACAAGGGGGTCAAACCATCCGCGCGCATTCTCAAAATTTTGATACCGCGAACATTTTTTCAACCGGTACTTAGAACAAAAACGAGGCATGTAAAGCAATCAGAATAGATTTAAATTTAATTTCTTTTGCAAAGAAGATGTCCTTACTTATAGTTTTAATATTCCAAATGCCTTGACACAATTCTTCCTTTTCTTGTCAGTATTTCGAGTTGAATGCGGTTTTGATTCTGGATACGGCGTACACCCGGCGTTGAAATGTTACAGAAATTGAGAAGTTGTCGATTAAACTGAAAGTTTAGCTTGAAGTTTTTTTTTTATTGTAGAACCTGTTTCATAAATATATTTTCAATCTTTGTTATAATTCCTTTGTACGAAAAATGTCTTAAAACGATCTTTTTGTAGAAAATAGAATTATGATACTGCGTACTCTCTCGAAAAAATCAAGATACTGCGTACACATTTATGTGTTATTGATTCTGCCTACACTTTCTTCGAAGCAGTCTAAGTTCATAGTGGGATCAAATGGACAACACAGGCGAACAAATAAAATAAAATAATAAAAAGACAATTGAAATAAAAAAATAAGATTCAAATCCTGTGATAAAGTATGCTCTGTAGGAGCACATATGTCTCGGAGGACATTTGTCTCACGAAGTGTGACCGTCCTCTT